TGTACTACGCCATACGAACTGGCAGTCAAAGGCGGTTGATTCTGCCTTCTAGGATCACTCCTCGTCCATTCACCCGAACATCCGCAGAGACAGAGGTTTCGGCAATCGCCACCAATCCAGCGTGCGAATCTCGATCCACCAACTGTGATATCGACTCCTCATCTTAGCAGCTAGCCATATAACCTCACGCTCCCGACAACGTCGGGGACCTCCCCAGGAATCGAACCCAGGGCCTTGAAAACAGTTTAAGACAATAGCGCTACCCAGACCAGACCAGGCCAGACCAGACCAAACCAGACCGCAATGCGTCGTAACACATCACTTTCGCATCATCACACAGCACACAGCAGGGGTGCGGGAGGCGATGGCGGCATGAACACACCTCTTAGGCCGACACTTGTGTGTGTGTGTGTATTGCTTTGCTGCGCCATCGTCCTCTTCACCTTTCGCCGTCCTTGTTGTCCCCCCACCCCCACCCCCACCCCCACCCCAGGCGGATTCGACAACCCCGGCATGGACCCGGCCTCCTCCGGGCTGGTGGCGTACTGGCGCTTCGACGAGGGCAGCGGGTACCGGGTCCGTGACGTCACCGGGCGGGGGCACGATCTGGTGATGCTGCAGGAGCCGCAGTGGGTGGTGAGTTGGACGTAATGATGGTCGACCTTGTCGAGGGAGGACGGATCATGATGGCTGGGCGAAGACAAATGAGCATTCCGTGGTGGCGCGTGTGGCGCTCGCTGTCACACTCGCAGCGCAAACAGCCCATTCCGGCAATAATAATGAGTGAATGAATGAATGAATGAATGAGGGCTCCTAGAGGGTTTTGCAACACCTCTGTGCAACTCGCCCAATCGTCCACGGAAGGAAGGATTTCCATCATCTTCGTCATCATCATCGTCGCCCCTCCCCCTTTGCCTCTTGCCCTGGCAGCAGCTTCAATCGCGTGTGGTTCGCCCCTCCCCCTTTCCCCCCTGTCTGCTGCCCTCCCGACCACCCGGCCCGACCGCCAGGTGACGCGGTGGCTGAGCAGCTGCGGGAATGCGGTGGTGGAGGGGTCGGAGGAATGCGATGACGGGGACATAACCGACGGAGACGGTTGCTCGTCCACATGCCGTGTGGAGCCAGGCTGGGTGTGTACGGGCAGGCCAAGGTCTACCTGCATGCCCAAGTCGGCAGCGGCCGGAGAGGAACCACAGCCCCCCGCACCTGCACCTGCACCCGCACCCGCACCGCGACCACCGCAGCCCGGACCGCAGCCGCCCCAACCGGCGCCGCCCAACCCTGGTCAGCCAGAACCCGGCAGCTTGCCGCCCAGCACGGACAGTAGTGGCCGTGGGTCGGCAGGAGGAGGTGCTGGCGGCCAGCCGACTGGCGGCGGCGGGACAACACGTCGAGCTGGTTCGGGCTTTGCCACTGCTCTGGCTGTCACTGGGGTGGTGTCCATCGTCCTGCTAGCGGGATTCGTGGTTTCGAAAA